ATATTCTCTTGTAAATTAAAAAGTAATGCGTTACTTTACTAGTTACTTGAAAAAAGTAATCTGATTACGTAACTCGCGTTACTTGTAATGCGTTACCCCCAACACTGTGTATAATTATAAAATCACTTTTCAATGTATGCAAAGTATGTAATTTTGTTATGGTAATACCCAAACTATAATATGCCAGACTTTAAATGCATCACTAAATTTTAAACAATATCAAACAAAGGTGTCCATCTTTGGTGTGAAAAGGTTGAAGACTCCTGCTTTAGTCATAACCGTGGTTATTTAAGAGATGCAGTGATGGTGGTTAGAGTCGCATCGTAATTTGTAATGTTGAAACATGAGACAATTATATTTGTCGCCCATAGAGGAGGATTCAGATATATCGCCTGCATAAGTGATTTCTGAATTAACACCTCAAAGTTTTAATTTATTCAAGTTCCAGAAATTACATTGGGGGCTGTCCATGTTTGTGTGAAAGTAATTGGCACATTTGCTTTCCTCTTTCCTGACAGCAGTCCTATCAGGGCTTTGGCTGGATGCCAAACTTAACTGTCCAGGACCTGTTGGATGTTCACCATCTCTTCAGAGTCTGCTCTAGTCTCTCGATTTAGGAGCACCATATCTGAAATTGTGCTGGCCTGTGCAATGCTGGTCATGCAGAGCCAGTCTTTTAACTTAATGCCATGAGGTCTGGTACACATTGCAACTATGGCCAAAAACCATTCACTTAGAAAGGAAGAGTCATTTTGACTGAGTCTGATGTAAATCAACCAATCTCAGTTTGCCACAGTTAGGGGTTTACTTAAAATGTTATTATACTATAACATTGCTTGAGAAAACAAGAATAAATGTGTAAGAAAATAAGAGAGTATATAGTTTACTTACTACTAAGTGCTTTATATTCAAACCTTTTTCATATATGATGCTACAAACCTGGAAGTGAGATATCTACCAGCTTGTTTCATATTATGTCACTGTACAATACTTTAAAACCCAAAGTCATTTGTCAGTGCTTTTCTTCTTTTACCAAGCAGGGCTGTCTTTTTTATCAAGTATCAGACAAGAAAGGTAAAAATAATCATCTAATTTTTCACCTGTCTAACATGTAAATATTAGTTGGTTGATTTGGATGGATTTTTTATTTACAGTACAACTTTGATTAATTGGCCAGTGTGCACTTCATTGGCCGAATTCACACAGACCATGCATAGGGACAGAACATACAGTATCAAAGATTCAAGGAGGCAGACTGGCCACTAATGTTAGTAGAAATAACGAGACACATACACCGTTCGGTACCTGGAAGCCAAGCAGTAAGGTGCTACAACCATTAGGCTCCGGCATTTGATATCCAGCACGAGGCTGAGGAGCTTTACCTGAAAAACAGAAATGATACATTATAATATATAATATCTTTAATAAGTGATTAACATAAAGTTGCTATTGACCTTTATTAGAATACATTTTATATAACAATAGCATTGAGAGCTTTACAAATGTGGAAACAATCAAAAGCAGTTACGCCGGTGTATTTATAATGCACCAAAAACATTGTTTTTCATGAATATTTTCCTGGATGACACTGGATTAATTTGGCTTCATGCTGTTTCTTAAGTTACAGACAGTATTCAACTTTAGTAACCTAAAATTAAATTAAATAAGGGACTATGCAAAAAGCAGAATCTAAACAAGCAATACCCAGGTTTTTGTATTACAGACATAACATTTGAAACTGAAGAAGCCATTTTTTCCCAGAATGTTTTTTCTCTGAATGTATTTACCCAATACAGCTAATTCAGTCTTATTCAGTATTATTATATTTTGGGACATCTGCTGAGAACTATCTATTATGGAATTATGATCTTCCAAACTTGAACTGAAGGGTATAGTTGTATATCACTTGCATAGCTATTAAAAACTTCACAAAAGTTCTGATAAAATCACCTAAATGTAAAATATGGAATTAAAACAGCAGAGGTCCTAAAACAGAGCCCCAGGTAACCCCAATGTCAGTAAATGTGAAATATTTGTTTATTTCATTCATTAATTTCTTTGTGACAGTTTTAATTGCCTGTTTCATAATGGAGAAATCATATATTTGTGTCACATATGTGACACTTATCTAAGAAGTATTATAAGTATTATGAGTAAATGAGATTTTCTTCCTATAGCCTTCATGGTGAAACAGTATCAAACATTTCCACATTTGGTATTCAGAGCATGGACTTTATCATTTCAAGAGAAGGTGATACTGTCCATGGAACATTATTTAAATCATCTTAAATTATGGTTGCATAAGGTTAGACACTACAACTACTTTGTTATTTTAGCTTTGGCATTTAGTCAAAGCCCTGCAACCAAATGTTCAGTAGGACTTATGAACCCGCAAGAAGTTTATTATGCAATTATTTTGTTAAAACTGTACATAGGTCTATATTAACCATTTTTATTGTGTATGAAGAATACTGATTGAATAAACTACATCCACTGCCCTCCTTAGGCAACATTTAACATTAAGAACATTAACTTGTACTTAACAAATTTAAACTAATTAAATCAAATTCTGTATGTATTAAGTAAGTTCCATTAATTTGTATTCAATTAACAGTCAAAGGCTAAGCAGAACATGCAAGTCTGTGTCATTGTAGAATTAAATCAGAAATATAAAGGAGTCAAGACTCAAGAGATAAATAAAGTACTTCCTAAATTCTCAGGTATAAGCATATGAAACTTTCTGATTTATTACTGTCATCTGTAGAGTGGTGTGATCAGGTTTAAAAAATAATGAATAAAAGAAAACAGATAGAATACAAAAAGAAAAGAGAAGCTAGTGTTTGAGGCCTTTTTTGTTTTTGTTAATTGTATAATAAATAAAAAGAAAACAAATAGATAGAATACAAAAAGATTAGAGAAGCAAGTGTTAGTTTTTAAATTTTTTATAAAGAATAGAATTAGAATAGAGAGTGCTAGAGTTAGAGGGTCAAATAAAGATGGAAGAGATGTGTTTTTAGCCGATTCTTGAAGATGGCTAAGGACTCAGCT